TTTGTGCCATCCTCCTTTGGCAACTTCATGGCATCTCTTTGACTTCATCTATTCTCTAATCTCTGTTCTGATTTCCCACCTGCCTTTACCCTGCTAAGCCATTGGCCAAAACAGCTTTATTCATTAGCCAATAAAAGCAACATACATACAGAAGGACATTCCCCCATCATGTAATCCATTTTGGGGGAATGTGAGTGTAGTTTTCTAGGCTACTTCCTGCTGGTTGAGAGCACTGATAATCTTATGGGGACCCAAAGAAAATTTAGGATTATGATCAAGTCCTGACTGGAGTATTCTTCGAGGCTGTATCATGTTAGCCAGCACTCTTGAGGCTATTCTGGATGTAGAACTCAGAGGAAACTGTGCTCTGAAACATTGGAACATCTGGGTCACCTACTCCTATTGGAGATTTTTCAGAGGGTCTTCCTCAATCAAACCTGATATTTCTTAACCCAGAATGAATCCACGGTCTCTTATTTCCTGTGGAAACAAAAACAAAACCTCTTCTCCAAAGTAACATATTTTTTTTACTTAAATTTTTAATTCAAGTCATTTTTAAAATATATAGATTAGATTAATCCAACAGTATTTATAATCAAATGTCTATTAGCAGTTGTTGCTCCTTCAAATTCAAAGACAACACAATAACATACAGTATGCGTATTCTTTGCCTCTTTTCCATCTTTACATGGAAACTGAGCTGGGGTGGATGAAAGCTGGAGCAGTAGTTTTCTTTCAAACCCAGGTGACTAGATTTGGGTCCCAATTTCTAGATTTGAAATTCCAGTGCCAGCTCTAGTCTGGGCTTGTGGTTAAAAGGCCTCAGGCAAATTGCATTTTTCATGAATTTGTGCCCCACATTGGGTGCTCATTGAAGCATGATTAATAAAAACCCAGAGAGAGAAATTGGGGTTCAACCCGAAGTTCAGAAAAGCAAAACAGCCAGACACTGGCTCTTACTTCTACCTCAGTCTGAAATGGCGATTCTGCTGCCAAGAATCTCAGAATGAGACTGTTCCTGAGAACTGTCTCTTTCTATATTATAATCCTCTCTAGGGCTGGGATTAAAGGCGTGCACTGTCTGGTTTCTATGACAACTAATGTGGCTATTGGGATTAAAGGTGTGTGTTACCACTGCCTGGTCTGTAAAGATGACCAGTAGGGTTGTTTTACTGTCTGATCTTCAGGTACATTTTATTTATTAAAACACAAATGAAATATCATGACGTAGGACAATGTCAACTCAGGAGGAATTTTTGCCAAGTGGAAATTAAAAAATTAAGTGGAACTTGGTCTTATGTCACCTTTTGACAGAAAAGGCAGTATATTTCTTTTACATTTCCCACAGTGTGTAGACAGATTTTGCAATGTTTAGAAGTATCATGGGAGGCCTGGAGGGTGCCTGGGCATGGTTATATGTAAGAAGTGATACAGCTGAAGCCTAGGTGGATGCTTGGCAGGAGGAAGCACATGAGAAAGGGAGATGCAGCTAGTGTCCTCTGTGTTTGTGTTCACCTCTGATTTGGCAGGCAAATAAAAGAGAGGAGAAGGCACAAGTGTTGGTTTGTCACTTTTCACGACTGGGGCTAATAGGAGAAGAGTGTAAGTTAGGTCTACACTAAGAAGTGTTTCCTGGGGTCCAAGAACTTGGAACTCATGGGAAGAATGGGAGAATGGGAAGGAAAACATGGCAGCAGGGATAGAAAATAACCCTTGTGTCTGTCAGACCTATAATAGAGAAAAGGGGAAATCTGTGATGTGACATGCAGTTGGGGGCCTCAACAAAGGTCTGACACAGGAGACAAACACTGCTCCAATTAGGGAAGACTTCTAAACAAGCAATAAAAAAGCTTGTCTCAGCCTGGCTTCTGAGGCAGTGGGACATGGGAACAGATGAAATCCATCTAACTGTGGTGGAGGCAGAAAATCTTAGCAATGACCCACACCTTCTTAAGATAAAGGAGGTAATCAGACATTGACTGATTGGCTAAGTAGAGCCATTAGGAACACTTGGCTATCTCCATCTGAGATCCCTGTGAATATCAGGAAGAGAGGTCCATAAGGGAAGGATAGGGTGACTGAGGAGACTGAGAGAACCTGTGTTTGATCCCCAGTTCACAAGGCCAGAAAGGTTGATGTTCACAGTAAAAAGAAAGTTGCTTCAGCAGGGACTTTGGAATTGTTTTGAAGGGTTTTAGTGGCTTTGTTGAGTCTCATGATGGGATGTGATATTTTTGAAGTAAGAGAGGCTTTGGCAGACATGGGTGACCTAGATTAGCAAATGAATTTTAGCAAATGAATTGAACTTGTAAAGTGGAAAAGAAATCAGGAGGAGGAGGAGAAGGAGAAGAAAAAGAAGAAGAAGGAGGAGGAGGAGGAGGAGGAAGAGGAGAAGGAGGAGGAGGAGGAGGAGAAGGAGAAGAAGGAGAAGGAGAAGGAGAAGGAGAAGGAGAAGGAGAAGGAGAAGGAGAAGGAGAAGAAGAAGAAGAAGAAGAAGAAGAAGAAGAAGAAGAAGAAGAAGAAGAAGAAGAAGAAGAAGAAGAAGAAGAAGAAGAAGAAGGGTCAAGAGTTCTGTATAGGTCACTTGAAGTGAAGATGTTGCAAGATCTAAATCAAACTAGCATTCCTAAGGGAAAATGGACAAAATTTCAAATGTACTAGTGAGTTTCTGGAAGGCTTCACATTGCTTTTTCTTTTCTGTGTTTCCTTTGTTTTGTTTTGCTGTTTTGAGACTGGGTTTCTCAAAGTCCAGGCTGGCCTTGAACTTCCTGAGGACAAATTTGAACTCATGATCTTCCTGCTCCCACCTCATTCTGGGATTACAGACTGCAGCACCACACTCAGCAACCTTGAATCTGTTGGTACAACAAAGTACTACAGTCTGTGGTAGTGCATAAGAAAATGCCTCCCAAAGGGAGCGGCACTACTAGGAAGTGTGGCTTTATTGAAGTAGGTGTGGCCTTGTTGGAGGAAGTGCGTCACTGTGGAGGTGGGCCTTGAGGTCATGTACATGCTCAAGATACCACCCTGTGTCACAGATTACTTCCTGTTGCCTGCAAGCCAAGATGTAGGATAATCAGCTACTTCCCTAGCGCCATGTCTGCCTGCAAGTCGCCATGCTCCCGCCATGATGATAATGAGCTAAACCTCTGAAACTGCAACTGCTCCCCCACCCCCGCAATTAAATGTTTTCCTTTATAAGAGTTGTCATGGTCATGCTGTCTCTTCACAACAATAGAAATCCTAACTAAGACACACGGTCTTTAAAAGTAACCTTTAGGTCAAAAGTCTAACCCAGCTATCAATAATCTAAATATAACAGGGCATTAAAAAAAACTGCTTTTCTTTCTAGAAGTTCTGGAGGGGAACGCCATGTGTTCCTTCTCCTTCCTTCCCTACCTCAGGCCTCTTCCCTTTATGCTCAGAGCTCAAGCAGCACATGGAGTTCTGCTGCTATTTTCATTTCTTTGGCTCTCTGGCCACACCCTAGACTGGCTCTCCCCTATGTCCTTGTAACTGCAGTGTGTCTACCCTGACTGACCAGGATATCATCCCTAGCTCTAGCTTACGCATGAGCCATGCATGCAGAGTCTCTTTGCCACTGGAAGTAATAGACATACCGATCCTAGGTATCTAGATGTCTAGTGTGTGGACATCTTTGAGGAGCAATGTTTTGCTCCCCACAGAGACTTAGAACGTATTTTAAGCAATCAAAAGCACACTGATGTGAGACAGAAGTAGACTAGAAGAAGTAGAGATACTGAGATCAAATGTTAGTCATTTGGGGTAATTTCATCCCTTCCCAATAATTAGAAGACTGTAAAGATCTGTCTGTGTTCTTAGTGTCTTCAAACGGTTCCCTGATGATGAAAGCATGTCTGTGAGCAGGGCAAGAATCCAGATCTGGGTCAGTGAACCTTTAAACACAGGCCTGGCAAGGCCAGGGTGTAGCTCCGTTGCTAGAGGGCTTGCCTTGGATGCGTAAGGCCCTGGGTTCTAGCCCCAGCACTACAATAGACAGACTGTGGTGGTTCAGGACTGGAATTCCAGGACTTGGGAGGCAGGTGCAGGAGGAACAGTTCAAGGTCATTTGAGGGAGTTTGATTTCAAATTGAACTATAGTGCCCTATCTGTCCAATAAAAACAACTAAAAAATCACCCCGAACTAAGAAATGTAGGCTTGACTTATCCCGTAGTGTCTAAGGAATGAGCTCCATTAGTAAATAGAGACTTGAACTCAGGCCAATCTGAGAGGAGAGGGTTGTTTGTTTGTTTGTTTGTTTGTTTAATTAGCTATAGTTATATACTTCCTTTGGCAGAGATGGTGATGCCCTTTCCCAGACTTGCTAGTGAGGAGCTTGTTGTCTGTGAGCTGGGAGGGCTGTCGGCAGACAGACCTCAGCTCTCAGCCCCTTCAGAGAAAAGTTCACACCCCCTCCTGGACAGTCCACAGTTAGTGCCTACATCATGCAGGAGCACATAGCCCAGGTACTTTCCTCGGGTCCTGGGCTACTTTGAAGGAACATCCCAGTTCCAGATTGCTGGGCAAGCCAGTCCTTAGTCCCCACATCACTGTTTCCACCGTTCCCCTGCTTCACTTCCAGACTCCTTCACCCCCAAAGGTTCACTGTGAGGAGGATGTGTTGCTCATTGGTAAACTTCTTGCCTTTCCCCGAGACCTGCTCTAGTATCTCAGAGGAAGCAGGGTCATTTTCACCAGGTCACTAGTCACTTAAGCTTCCGATTTGTAGGCGGAGCTGAGCATAGGTGGACAAGGGACACCAGCTGTCCAGGTCTTGCTCCTTCCTTGCCTCTGCTCTTCTGCCAACCTCTGAGCACAGCTAGGCCTAGAAATGCTCACCCTGAACCCCAGCTTTAAACAAGCTGCAGGTGTGGCCACGGGATGCACTGTTCTCTTCAGGTTCATACCTATGTACCACGGCACAGTATCGTTGATTTCAATCACAGAAAAGTAAAACACACCACTTTGTCAAAGCAAACACATTTTAACGATTTTATTTCAGGTCAATTTGCCCCCACATGTTTCCCCAGAATAGTCAAAATATGTCAAGAAAAAAACAAAACAGAACAAAACAAAAAACAAGCCATTTATCAGATAAACAATTTTTTTTCTGTGATTAAATATTATAGACACACTATCAAGAAGAAGAATCATCACCTGTATTCTTAAATTTTACAAGTTTTCTTCATTTATGTCTTGCTATTCTTTAAAGCCTATATAAGAACTATAGGAAGTAAATAAATGTACAGTCTGGATGTATTTTTAATAGTAGACTGAAAATTTATGAGATTATTTTTCAATGACACATCTATTTTGATTTCATCTATGCAAACCACTTAATTAGAGAAAAAAATGAGCAAAATAGTATTAAGATAGAAAGTTAAAAATCTATAGTAGGGAAGACAATTGAAATTTCTATGTTAAGAATCGACTGGATTTCATTTAAGTGGAACATGTGTCTCTTACCTGCCTCCCTCAAATCCCTTCAGCCAGCAGCAAATGCAAGCCCTGCGCTATCAACCATCACTTGTAAGTACATTATCTGCCGCATTAAATAAACCTTATTTAGGTAACTGCTTGGAACATTCCGCAGACTCCAGTCCTTCACAAAGTTTTCAGTTATTGATTTTTAAATCTTCATAAGCCTCTCAGGAGGCCAAGCAGAATCGGGCCGCTGACCCAGCAGGTCTTTCCCTGAGATTGCCACCTGCCGTCCCCATACCAGCCCATCAATAAGCGCTTATGGGCAGCCTGCTGCGGGACTGAGGCCTGCGTGGGGCCAAGCAGACTCCACAGAAACGAGATTAGGTTTGCATGGAGCTCCATCCAGATTAGCATGCCAGCTAGGGTTTATTAATTTCATGTTTATTAGCAACTACGACTGTTTCTCTAGGAGTGGCATGGCTTTTGATGTTCCTTAAACTAATGGGGAAGCCTCTCATTAGTAACAACTCTTATTTTAAAGACAACATTTGTGTAGAGTCAGGTAGACTAGTCTCCAGAGGTTTGTACATCTACCGACGAGGTTTTAGAACACAAAGTACCAGATGTGTTTCATATTTAGATGTCAGGATGCAACATTTCTCATTTCTCACTCTTTAGGAGTAAAATGTCAGGACATTTTTGTGATTTCCTCTAACCAGTAACACAGGAGGCAGGTTCTTGGTCAGAATTTCCAGCCACGCCATGTACAGCAAATCCGATATGGATCCTTTTCTCGCCACTGGAAGGCTCCTGACGGCATGGGAGACAAATTAAAGGCAAAGAGAAAAATTACAGTGGGAAGGGACATTATCTGCGCTTCTGAATTAGTCATAACTGGTAGCCTGAAATGTTTATCATGTCCCCCTCAAACGAGAGCACTGCAATTATTTTAAATACAGAAATTAAATTGATGTGTTCTTCAGATAATGCAAACATGTATAAATAAGAAAGAATGGCTTAGTCATTGTACAGACAAAGTAAAATTATGACTTCTGATTTTTTTAAACAGAGAATTTAATAAACAAAAAACTGCTCTATGGAGAAAGTTACTCTTCCTTCTAATATCTCCTGGGAAGTTTTTTTTGGGGGGTATACATTAGAAGTGGCACACCAGGCCACACCGTGCTTGAAGATACATATATTTTCATATATAGGTCAGTTCATGGGGTAAAAATAAAATAGCTGGACATTTTCCCATTTTAGCACCAATCTCCGTTACATGAGTAATACATTCAGTGGGTATACTCCTAACATTGGTGGGGCCCTGGGAGAGAGAACGAAAACATAAAAACTCATGGTGATCTGTTCCCACACTGTTGGCCATGATACACATGGCTCGGAAGTACCCACTCAGGAAATCAGCCGTGAACCCACACAGCTCAGGGGTACCCATCAAGGGAAAATGCTTGTGAGCCCTGTGGCCTGCTTGGGCTATTGGGAGGGAATTTCGGAGTTCCAGGCTTCTGGAGCCTGGTCATAAGGGACCATAGGGTAGCTTCAGTCCATGGACACATGCTCCTAGCCCCATGGCTGTTGTAGAACCACTAGCAAGTCCAACCACGTCCTGCTGAAGTTGACAGAACTCGGTCATCCCTGTCTTAGAGTGACAATTGTCTTCCTTCACTGCCTAAACTCCCACACGCTCCAACTTATCGCCTCAACGCCCCCCCCCCCCCCCCGGAGGAGTCCTGGACCTTCAGTTGGATCAGCCCTCTCAGCCTTTCCCTTCTCCCCACCAGGCGACTGCCGACGACACTTACAATACGATCAGGTTGGCGGCTCTCGAATGTTCCTGTAAGAGCTCATTCAGCCGGACTTGGCGGTAACTCTGTGGACAGTATTTAGACTGAGTTCAGTGCGGCTCTACCAGAATTATGAGCAAGAAGTTCTCGCCTTACCTCAAGTCATGAATAAGCAGAAGATATGACTTTTAAAAGTCACTACTAAAAAAAAAAAAAAAAAATAGAATGTTCTTGAAAAACAAAGATTTTCTGTAAAGCTTCACGGGAAATTGAAGTAATGTAAAGAGTGAGTCTGGATTCTCACTGTGGCGTGATGGCTTATTAGGGGTGTAGAGTGTGTCTAGGGGTGGAGAACAGCACAGAGAACAAAAACAAAAAAGATGAGAACGGGGGTGGGGGTTGGAAACTGGCTTTCGTCTGGAGAAAACCAACTGAATCTTCCTATCTCTTTGGTAGCCTAAGAAAGCAGGTTGCACTCTAACCTGTTCCCTTTAAGCCCCCTGATAATATAATATTAGTATTGTACTGGTTCTGTAGGACCCAGCCTTGACAAGCTCAATAGAGCCCTGAGTCTCAGTAGTTTACCCTAAGGCAATACCTGGTTCCGAAAAAGACCACAAACTAAGACCACGCAGGTACCACCCAGGAACAGACCCTCCAAAGGAAATTCCTAACGTTCTAAGCTTTGTAGATAGGATCACCTGCCAGGACACACCCATCGCTTTTCATCAGGACATCCCTAGACAAGTGTCAGCCCTGAACCTTAGAAATCTCTCACCCCTACCTTCACTTCTATAAAAACCCAACCCCATCTGACCTCGGTGCTCTCCAATTGCTCCAATATGTTGGACACATGGAGAGTCTGAGTTTGCAAATTTATGTGAGAATAAAGGCTCTTTGCTCTTACATACAGGACTCGGTCTCCTAGTTGGTTTTGAGGGGACTCCGTGATCTGATCTGGGCATAACAGTTTAAAGTAAAAAGCCACCAATAAAGTCGCTGGAAAATTAGTTTACAGTGCTCAGACTAATGCTTATTTTTGCATTTCACTGCTTCAGAACAAGGTTCCTATGTCTGGCTTGTTTAATTATATGTGATGTCTCTGTGAAGACTGGGTACTTAACCACGTGCACAATTTATTGTTCTCTGTTAGCACTGTTTACGCTACTATTGAAAGGGGTTAATATTTTCTTCCTCTACAAGTTCATGTGATCCTCGTCCTTTAATGACCAACTAACATGTTGAGCTTTGTACTTAAATCTTCACTTCTCTTCTTTCCATTCTATTACTGCCTGCCACTTCACACACACACAATTATTTCACTATTCCTGTGTCTGTATGATGTATGCATGAGTGCTGCAGTGTGTTTGTAGATGTCGGAGAACAGCTTTCTATGAATCCATTTTCTGTCTCCACAGTGGGATCTGGGAACTGAGCTCGGGCCGCCTGATGAGCTATCGTGTTAGCCCAGGCACAACATCTGTACTCACCATTCCAACCAATGCATCATACATTTCTGTGGCTACTCTTGTTAGTTTTTTACAGCTGTGTTTATCAGGTTATAGGTCTTTGTTATTGTTTAAATTGTGGGTCAATTTACCTTGATCCACGTTATATGCCTAATGAGGAATTATTTTAAGATTAATAAAAAAATACATTTCAAAGGAGACCTCACAGTATGGACCAATAACTTGTTTTATTAAACTTAAAAATAGGCTACTTTCTAAAAAAAAAATGAAAATGTTTTCTGAATGACTGTATCTAGTAACACGATCAAAATGTCCCTGAAAATGTGGGCGCCTGGGATGCTGAGGAAGGCAGCTTGACCTGATGGATCGGTTCTTAAAAAGCAACTGCTGTTCCCTCTTCGCTAATTAGACAGCGAAGTGGAAACCAGGGAAGACAGGTCCTTACCTTTTCCTTGACTGCTTCCAGTTCTGCGTCTGTAATCTTCCACGGACTCTCTCTTTTTAATTTCTCAGCAGTGGTCAAATCTTTGTGGCTTTCGTGGAGTCGATAAGGTTCAATCATCTCCTCAAAGACTTTCCAGCTGAAATTGGAATTGAAAAGGAGGCCTCATAGCGGGAAACGGGTTCATTATTTCACAGATGCAAAGAACCAGAGCTGAATGGTATGCAAATCTTCTAAGAGTCCTCTGTAGGGAACACACTGTGAGGGAAACCGTGGGCAGAGGCCTCCCTTCTTTGTCAAAGCAAGCAGCCCATGTGTTTGAGGCCCAGTTAGTTTGCAAAGATCATCAATATTATTAATTCACGGAGATAATAATTATTCCACAGATATGTTTTCTGCATAATGTAGTTAAAAGCCCACTTATACTATAGATACTGAAGCCCACATCTGAGTCTCCATTTGCCTGTGATGCAGAGCAACGGGAAACATCTATCAGTTATTGTAGTTGGAGTATGACCTCCATTCTTTGAGCGCTGGCAGTTCTCCTCACCTGCAGTCAACAGACAATGCCCACGCCTGCTGGGGGACTTCGGGCAGAGAGGAAAATAGCCTAGCCTGGGCTCTCACAGGTTTAACAGTTCTAGGGCAAAAATGTCTGTGGAAAATAGTGGTGTCCTTGTCCTGGTGTTTGATGTTGCTGCCTGGGACTTTCAAACGACTATTATTCATGTTTGTGTTAAGCGAGAGGACAAAAATCAATAACATTTAATGCCTAAAATCTGAGGCCATCTTAGGGCATCTAAAAATAAATCATCGAGGAGAAAGCGAGAAGCGGCGTCTGAGCTATGGAACATTTAAAAATTGCAAAAAGAATCTCCTTCTTGTCTTACATGATAATCTCCAAAGATTTATTCCTCAAACTACGGCACAAAGTGAAGCTTCTAATTTATGGAAGGAGCTGTCTTCAGAGCTCTGCTTAAGAAGACCTCAACTATGAATAATTTTCTTTGGTTTTATATAATTTAGCTTACTTACCATTTAGTAACTTCGGGATGAATGATAATTAGAATCCATACGCTTTGGGGTTAAGAAATTAAAATATGAAGTGTTGAATTTAATTATCTCATCAGTTGGCCTGGTTTAGGACTTGCAGATAAAAGTGCAGAGATTACAAGGGAGTAAAATTGTCTCTCTGCCAGTCAGTCTCGATAAAGGACTGAGGGGTACCCAGTCAATCTCTGTAAAGGACTGAGGGGTACCCGGTCGGCCTCTGTAAAGGGCGGAGGGGTACCCGGTCAGCCTCTGTAAAGCACTGAAGGGTACTGAATGCAATAGATTCCTATTGTGCCGACTCACACAGAGAGCAGGGAGACAATGGGTAAGCAAGAGAACTGATGTGTCCCTATTATTCTTCCAACAATACGTTCATTTGCTGTTGCTTCCCACGGTGTCAACCCTGAGAGGGCTGTGGCGACAGTCAGTAAGATGCAGGGTCTGGCCTCAGAACCTGCATAACTGCTCTACGGTTCCTCTTAGAGCTATCTGGCCCACAGAAGGAAGTGACAATGGCCACCGAGAGCCAGGGTGATGACTGGGTACACCATCAGGAAAGTAAGGTAGCCTTGTGCTGACCAGCCCCAGAACTTGGTTTCAGGATAGAAAACCGTATTTAAACTTTACACATTTTTATTTTGGAACAGTTTCGATTTCTCTGCGCCTCATCCAGCGCCTGGCTAGAAAATACAGCCTAAGAATGATTTCTCAAGAAACAGAGGCGGAGTGGAAATTGGTCGTTACTTCCACAGTATCCAGGGTGAGAACCGTTCCATCCATCAGCCAATGCTAGCACCTCTCTATGCTTTCTGCAAGGACTGAGGGAAGCCTACGCAGTTTTGCACTAATATACACCCAGTACTATGGTGCCTACCACGAAGGGCCCTGATTTTTAGGGGGACAATGAATCCTGAGTAAAGTATAAGACCCTGACTTCACTGACTTGGGAGAGATACTTTCCCACCAAATGAACAAGAACAAGTATGGAGTCCTAGCTGCTACCGTCAGTCAACTTGCTTCTTATAAGCTAAGTGAACTTTGAGTGGCAGCTTTCTACAAAAAGGGAGAACAGGAAGAAGGAGGGAGAATCAGTCCTTTGTTACGACGTTTATTTTCTAGGTCATTTAGCTGAAAGCCAGCCTACACTTGTGCCTAATTACGTGTGACAATAATTTCTGTCACCTAACTCACTATGAGGTGATTTCCACTTGCACTGACACACACTAAGCGGAGGATGAGGGAGAGCAGAGCAGGCCATTGGATCTCTTGGAACTGGAGGTATAGATGGTTATTAGCCAGCATATGGGTCCTAAGACTCAAACCCTGCTCCTCTGGAAGAACAGCCAGTGCTCCTGGCTAAGGCGTCTCTCCAGGCCCCAACTGATCTTTCTTTCAAGCACCTTTTAATTGACTCTCAGCCAAGTAATATCTGCTGTTAAATATAAATGAGGATTAATTCAGACTTTTTAATTAACTAATAACTGTCCTGCCTTCTCCATCATTTTCTTCACACCGAAGTTCAATACTATTTTAACTGCATGAAACTTTCTCCCTGAGAGAGGAAAGGGAAGGAGGAAAATGATGTATTTTAATCTCAGAAGTGTGATAATAATTTAAAATTTCATCCTTTGTCCACATAAGATTTCCTCTTTCAAAGTAATGTTTTGTGATTGTTTTTAGATTATTCTAGCATCTAGCATCGTTAAGCTAAATTGTCTAGTTAATTGCTTCCAATTTCTCCTTGATTCCCATATAAAGATTTCTCCTTTGGCCCATGACTTTTATTTCAGTTTATACAATGAAAATGGATTCTACCCACACTATGTCCTGTGTTTTTCTAGGCTCAATTATTTTCTCATTTAGTTGGCCTTTGTGCTGTCTTCACCCTCGCCCTTCCCATACGTAGAGATAAGGCTTCTATGACAAAATGCCTCCAACATGGCTAACCAACACTTCATGGTGGCTACAAGATTTGCTAAAGAAGATTGAAAAATATTTTAACACTAGACTTCCCCCAGACCAATCACTGGGAAACTGTTATCCACTCTGCTTAACACCAGGTAAGCAAGACAAAAATAGTGATCTGGGGACAGTTGTTAATGGTGGTGAAGACTGCCCAGCTAAGAAGGCCACCACGGGCACTGAAATTGAGACAGTATTCTCTTGATGGCTTAGCTCCGTGACCCGGAGCTACATCCATCTATAAGAGTTTTCTCTATTTGACTGTACTATCCAGAGTTAACACAAACACGCCTGACCTGCTATCAGAGGCCACAGGTACTCTGGACCAAATGACTGTTTTCTGTTCCAAACTAGGGCTACTTTCAAATCGTGGGGCATGAGTTACCAGCAGGGTACATGGTATTTTACACGTCAATGTGAGTGGAGTGTGGTAGAAGGGTAAGAGAGAATGGCTCTCCTGAGCACTCTTTCTGGCAGATGGTTTCCTTTTCTCAATACAGTATACATTAGTCACCAGAATTCTTTGGTCTCTGGAATGAACTTTAGACACACGGACAAAAAGTGAAAATGACCCAGGAAGAGGACAGTATGGGGCAAAAAGGACAAAGTTAGTTCGTACTATGACATGCGGGTTCTCCCAGAGTGGAGAGGACAGCTAAGGAAGGTAACATATCACACGTTCAGTGATAGAACAGAAAGGGTAAGAACACAGGGTGGTGGCCACAGCTGCTGAATTGAGGCTAGCCTGTGTGACACAGAAAAACAAAACAAAACAAAACAGAAAAACCAAAACAAGCCTTCAGGAGAGAAAACCAGCCTGAGGGGTGGAAATACAAGGGAGTAGAGAAATAGCTGCTCGTTTACAAAGATGAATAATGAAGACAAATTCTAGTCCTTCAAGAACGGGGCAGCTAAATTTTGTTCAGCATTGAGCAAGGGCTTGAAGAGAAACGGGGGTACCCTCCAGACAGCGGACAGTGGCTTGACCTTGACTTATGATGATATCTAAATCCTATCACAAAGGGGTTCATGCAGAAAATTGTTTGATTTGCTCTGTTCTGAAGAATCCATCTCTACCAACTGGAGCCACTCAATAAGACTGAGGGGTAACACGGCTGCAAATGCCACAGAGGCATCAACTCAATGAGCTACAGCTCTTCAAATGAGAAGAGACTGTATAACCATCCAGGCCTGGTCAGAATAGTATTCCCACTTACCAATGGGAATTGTAAATATGTTATTTTATTTACGTGTTTGTAGTGGCAGAAGCCCAAGAATGTCAAGGATTTGAGGTATGTATGATACAAGGAAATGTTATAGAGCATATCTGGTTGGTCCAGCAATTTCAGCTTTCTTATCACAGTTAAGGTGTCCTGTTAAGCATTCTACCTGACCCATAGCTTTGGTGAACTCACGCACAGCCTAAACAATATGAAGTTCGAGTTTATCCGGTCCACAAAAAGTGTATCTTAAGTCATAATATTTTTAGATATTTATCAAGTTCATAAAGGGAACACTATACTACAAGAAGGAAAGAGGTGAAAAGACTGGGAGATTGTAGAACTACGGCTTGTCAAGACTAGCCAGAGGAAGCAAAAACTGTGGTCAAAGAAGACCCAACAGCAGTGTAGGACCCAAGGCACTTAGAAGCCTTCACATCCCACTATGTGATTTTCTTTGTGGGCTTCAGTCTACTCAAAGTCAACTGTATTGAATCATGTTCACAAGAGACAGTAAATATAGCTTACTTTAAACAACTGAAAATGTCTTGTAATGGCTAAATTCCAAGTCTAAGCAGTTCATTTAATTTATAATTAAATATATTTATTAATTAGCAATTAATTAATATAGTGATTCCAGGCACTATTCTTGCACCTTTGGGATATTCTGTGAAGATATAACCCGTGATACCCATACCATCTGAAATCAGATGCTGAGGCAATGAACTGAAGTTTTGTCGTCTTCACACCTTGAAGCTCAAACCCCCAATGTGGTGAAGTTTGGAGGTGGGGCCTTTAGGGGGCCCTTTACTTTCGATAGATAGAGTCCTAAGGATGGTGGCCCCATAAGGGAATTCATACCCTAGCAGAAGAGAAAGAGATGCCAGAATTCTTTCTCCATAAAATGAAGACATAGATGCAACTAGCTTCAGGCTAGAAAGAGAATCCTCAACAGACATACACCCCCAAAGCATCTTGTTCTTGGATTGCTGAACCAGAACCGAGAAACAAACCACCTAGCCTATGGCATTTTGTTAGTGACTAATATAATAATGGAGCTGAGAAATTCATCAGTTGATAAGGGTTAAAACGCTGTCAAGCTTTGAAGATGTTTCAATGATGGTTTCTACTTTGTCACTTTCCGTTCTCTGGGAGTGGGGCTTCAACCACCTCTCTAGATCTCAGATAATTTAGAGGTTCTCTCAAAAGTTCACAGGCCCTAAGCACTGAGTCCCTTAGTGCCTGGAACCCAAAACATCCCTGGGATGGGAGCCCTTTCCTTCAATTTCTCACCATAACCCTCTTCTCTCCATTAAAACGGGCTTGATGGCTCTGCACCATAGTGTGGAGAAGACGTCTCTAATATCTGTCAAGAAGGCATTACAGTCCATACATTACATTTTCAGCCCTTTGCTAAGCAACGCGAAAAAGATGAGACAGGAGCAGGGGCTGGGAAAGGAGCCTGCTACCCAATTCACACCTCTCTTTGTTTGGCTTGATGTTGATGTCTCCAATTATATGGATGTCTGCAAATTTTATCCTAAATTTGCTGAGGAGAGAAGCCATTCTGAAAGAGAGAGAGAGAGAGAGAAAAACCCACATCATTAGTGTCTATGTAATTACTTTCTATCAAAATTGTCTTTGTGTTTGATTAAGGCATCAAAAGCAATCAGTGTAGCTTCCAGATGGAGGCTTTTCAGTTTTGAGATTTGTTAGCACACTTGTCGGAGACGTCATGGACAAAGCCACTCCACCGAGGGCGTAGAGCAAGCCCTGCTGGTGATCAAGGTGGTACAGACCTGCTATCTCAGGGCACTGAGGTAGGAGAACTGTGAGTTAGAGGCCAGCAGGACACACTCTGAGACACCTTGTTATAAAAACGAATCTAAGAAATAAAAACAAAGAAAGCCTGGAAGATACAGAGAACAGAACAAAGGGAACTCTGCGTTCATCTTCATGAGAGAGAATGTGAAGCTATCCTTGCCATCAGTCAGACAGAACAGGCTGATTCTTACTGCTGGACGTCTTTATAAACTACTGGCAAGCTGCTAACTATAGTGTAGCGCCACCACCCCTGGAAACTAGTAATCTTAACTTAAATTTACAGAAATCTTCTGAAGTGATGCAAAAATTCCTAGGCTTATCATTTGCTTATTTTTTTCCAATTTGGCTTGATATTCTCTCTGTTTCTTTCTCCTTTTATCTATCTGTCCATCCATCTCTTAAAGGAATCAATATATGTGATATTATTGTATGAGCACTGTGATATCTTCATTGAAAGCAAATGTATAAATATACTTATATCCTTATTATAAATGTGAGTATATGTGTGCGTTTACCATAATTCTATTCACCGGGGAGGAAAAAGAAAATATGAAAATTGGTGGAATGAGAGGCCTGTTATCACTGCACAGTTTCTGGAAGGTTCAGAGCTCAGGACTTTAGCCCATCATGCAGGACTCAGAGCTGCTGATGTTGACTCTCCAGGCTTTCCATGACAATTGTGAGTACATACGAGTACACCATGCTCCTGGATGCTTGTTATTCTCACATCTACACATTGGCTCCAAGTGGCTACATTAATGAAAAATCTACAAAGATATGTGAATCAACTTTAATTAGATCTCTCTCTCTCTCTCTCTCTCTCTCTCTCTCTCTCTCTTTCTTTTGAGACAGGGTCTCATTACGTAGCCCTAGCTGGCCAGAACTCAACACGTGTCCAGGTTGGCCTTGAACTTGCTATGTAGAGCAGGCTGGGCTCAAACTCAGAAAGCCTCTGCCTCCCCAGTGCTGAGAACTAAGGCATGTGCCACCACACCCAGCTAGCTCAAAGGTATTTAAAGCACTGAAAAGGAAAGCAATAGATCAGCCCATGCTCAGAAGGACCAGACAGGCGAGCCACAAATTACTCACGAAATCTTTTCCTCTTCAATACGGTTGATCTTTCCTCCAACGTAGATTCTTAACTTACAGTCTTTCCATTTTTTTCTGAGAGTCAAGATATATGGAATAAGAAGGGTTAACCCTGGAACGAAGAGTAAATTGCAACAGGAAGGATGAGAGAAATTGAAAGAAATGAGAGCATTATTTTTATTCACTCCCACTATCATAACTATTAAATCATGTTTTATAGTGGTATATTATTTGTGTTTTAGTAAATAAAGTTTGCCTGAAGATCAGAGCAAAGCAGCCGCACTAGCCATAGAAGCTAGGCAGTGGTGGTGCACACCTTTAATCCCAGCACTAGAGAGGAATATAAACCGGGAGGAGACAGTTCGCATTCTTAGTCTCAATCTGAGGATTCCTGGAGGCAGGCTTGCCCATTTTCAGTCTGCGGTAGAGGTAAGAGCACATGGCTGATTGCTCTGCTTTTCTGATCTTCAGGTTGAACCCCAATATCTGTCTCTGAGTTTTTATTATTCGTGCTACAATTTGTGGCCTTCAGGAACTCAGAAATGGGTTCTTGAATCAACACCCTTTTCATAGGCAGTCGCTTTGCTAAAATAATCAAGCAGGGGTTCTGCTCCCTAGTGAACGCTCTGCACAGCTTACCTCCGTCATCGAATAACCACCACACATCGATCGTGCCTTTTCCTTGCTTCTTTTTAAACTGAGCACTGGCTTCCACCAGTTTCTGGTTGAACTCCCCGACATGCATCGACTGGATGGTGTTGATGTTGCCGTCTGAAACGGAGGACATAGTGATGCATCTGTCTGTCCTCTGAGCACAGAAACAAGGTGACTTTCCACTTAACCTTTTGAGCTCCATTCTACAAAGCCAAACTCCGTAATTTAGCTCACCTTCCCTAACTAAGGAGAGAATTGCCCCCAGTTCTGCCGACAGTTCAGATTCTAAAGCAGTGTGTCTGTTTTAGATCTCTTACAACCTCACAATGGAATTATAATTTAGGTGTATAGTGACTTAAGCTGCAAAGATACTCCACAGGTTTATATTTTGAGTTGGTCCCCCACCCTGGCTGATTGGTGTTACTTTGGGAGACTGAGGAGCTTTTAGGGGGGCTCAGCACAGTTGGGGAAAGTAGTTCAGTGAGAGGGGTGGGCCTTAGAAGATTACAGCCTGGCTCCCACTGTGGGGCCTAGATGCTTTCTGGTGTGCCCTGATGTGAGTAGTATCTGTCTTGAGTTCCTGCTGCGAAAGATGAAGCCACAGGAGTTCGTCCTTTCTACTCTGATGGGCTAAAGATCTCTGAAATCACAAGCTATTGGAAATAGTTAAGACCTATTTCCTCTTTCAAGGTGATTTTTGTTCTGTCTTGTTTTTGGTCAGGATACTGTTAAAGAATAAGCCGTGTCTATGGGGATGGTTTGGAGGAGGGAAAAAAGTGTCACATGGGACACATATGTGGGAAGAAGGCTACGGGGGAGAAAAGGGTGCAAGAGAAGGATGGGAGGGGACAAAGTGGAAGAGAATCAATACAAACAACATTTGTTTGAAAAAGAACCCAATTCTGCATATGTTAATAAAAAACATTCTTTTTAGAAGAAGAAGGCCACACAACAGCTTCTTGCGGGATGTTTCAGCCTGGTTATGCTCTGATTATGAACGCAGCAGATAAAAATCAACAGATCCCCAACCTTCCGAAATTTTAGAATGGAACAAACATTTTAAAATTTACTTTAAACTAGAACGTGTGGTGACTGAATTTTGTAGAGATGAGCAGTAGGGGACAGGGAAGGTCACTTAGGCACCAAGGTGCTGATCTCGAAGAACCCCATGAGAAAATGACATGAGAGGTTTCATGTGTGTGCAGTCCCCACCCTGAGGGGGGGGCAGAGAGAGGTGGTTTCTGGTGCTAACCGGCCAAGCAGCCTGCCTTGCTTGGAGAATTCTAGGCCAATGAGAGGCTCTGCCTCAAAGTGGATGGATGGCTTTCCTGGGCATGATGCTGAAGGCTGTCCTCGGGCCTCCACACACATGTACAATGTGCACCTCCTTACATACATGTACACATTTCCACACACACGTGGAAACTATTCTTTCCTTGGAAATTTGACTCATTTAAACACAGTTTTATCATAAACTCCACAAAGGTCTGGCTGGTAGTTTTCTATAATCCCAGAGCACATTTGTTTCTTTTTCAAGAGTTCTGTGAAGCAAAGCAAAATCCCTTGAGTTGTATGGATTTTTGCAAATGATATGAAGAAGGTCCAGGACACATAGAGATTAAAAGCTGCTTTGAGTTTTAATTAAGGATGGATGCATATATAATTCTTAGGAGTGAATAATACTTTTCTAAACTATTATTATATGCATTATTTTTACATGTGAGTGTGTGTGTCTGTGTCTCTGTATGTGTGTGTGTGTGTGTGTGTGTGTGTGTAGGTTAAGTATGTACACTGTGTGCACTATGTGCACGCGAGTGCAGTTGCCCACATAGGTCAGAGGTATTGAATCCTCAGAGCTGGGATTACAGGTTGTGAGCCACCTGATGTGTGTGCTGAGACTTGAACGCGTGTCCTCTGGAAGAGCAGCAGTTGCTCTTAACTGCTGAGCCATCTTTCCAGCCCCAGATCTATTCATTTTTATGTGTGTGGGTGTTTTACATGCATGTATGTCTGTGTACCACGTGCCTGTCCTGTACTCTTGGAGTTGAGCCGAGGATGTCACCTGCCCTGGAACTGGAATTTACAGGTGTGAGCTGCCTTGTGGGTGCTGGGAATTGAACCCGGGTCCTCTGGAAGAGCAGTCAGTGCTTTTAGCCACCTGACTCATCTCTCCAGCCCCATGTTGAATGGTTTTGACTCTGACATGGGTACAGCAGAGGAGCATCAGGGGGAGCAGGCTCATTTCCTAGCAGAACTCCTGTCACTGGGGTTTCTGGGCATGCTGTCTATATTATTTCTAATTTCCTTGCCTTTGAGAGTTGTTGCTTCATGGCTCTAATGCAAAGAGGCAGCAGCAGGGCAGTGCTCAGCGCAGCTTTGACAGCCCCTTCAGAGCTCCCTCTCTGATCTAGTGTGTTCTGAAGACACTTTGTTCTCTTTCCTCTGTTGCTGCATTCTGGGCCCGTCAGTTCTAAAGCAATAAGCGCATATTGTTTTTATATCCTTAGGACTGCTGAGAGACAAAGTAAATTTATTTGTAGAATGGACCAAACTCTGCCCTTACGTCCATGCAAATCAAAGCGTCTGGAAGGATTATTAGGAGAGTCTGCAGGTTTGGGCTTGATCTAGAACTCAAAAGAGCTCTCACCATCTGAAGCCGGGGTGGCGTAGGCTCCCTGTAAAGCAGTGTTTGAACGCCTGGGTATTGAAGTACACAGTGCTAGCTTTTGTCTTTCTGAACACCGAGGCAGGTTGGCATTGGGAACAGTAGCTTTTCACCAGCACAAGGGCTGTGATGGAGGAGTGGACTTCCAGAGTGACCACGCCTTGCTAGCACAAGTGACACCGAGACGCCCCCCTCCCCCTGCCAATAGGAAGAGGGAAGGACTGAGCTTTTGCTTTGAACGTTTTGTTGCTTTTCCAGGCCGGGTCACTTAATAGAGACTCATATGGCAAATAGGTCAACAATGGAAAAAGAAATAATTTTTAAAAGTCTTCTGGCGAATTAAACATTTTAAACCTTCACTTATTTTGCACGTGTGCATGTGTGGGCACACGTGTGCCATGGTTTACACCTGGAGGCCAGAGGACAACTTGGCAGAATCAGCTTTCTTCTTTCACCCTGTGGGTTACAGAGACAAACTCATGTCATCAGGCCCGGTGACAAGCACTTTAACATGCTAAACTGTCTCACAGGGCCCTATTCCTAATTTTATACCAATTCTAACTTCAGATTCAAATATATAATTCTCATGGGAAAGTATGTATGTATGTATGTATGTATGTGTGTGTATGCATGCATGTATGTATGTATGTGTGTATGCATGCATGCATGCATGTATGTATGTGTGTGTGTATGTATGTATGTATGACAAGGTCTCTCTACATAGTTCTTGATAACCAGGAACTCACTCTGTAGACAAGGCTGACCTCAAATCCACAGAGATCTGTCTTCTTCTGCCTCCTGAGCACTCATATTGAAGGTGTGTGCCACCAAACTGGGAGGGAAATGATATTTTAAGGTGCATGGGAAGGGGCTGGAAAGAGGGCCCAGAAGCTAAAAGTGTTTGCTGCTCTTCCAAAGGATGCACGTCCAGTTCGCAGCAGCCATGTACTCGTGTCAGGTAGCTTATTCCTCCTCTAACCCCAGCTCCAGACACCTGGTGTCCTCTTCGGGCACTTGTGTGTACACATAAATTAGGAATAAATCATTTTTTAAAAAACTTAGTGGGAAATATTAAGCTTCCTGGAGTCTGTAGGAAGACACAAATTGTATTTCCTGTCATTCTAATATTACAGGTAAAATTTTCAACCTTGGGCTACAAGCACTAGAACAAGTCAATGTGATTGAATTATTTACAGGTTAGGGCGTGGTCTTTTCAGAGCTGTCCCTCAGCACAGACCAGGAGTTGGTAAAGCTGCGGTAAGGGGGCCCGTCACCGGACTACTCAAACCAGTGTGCGACCATCTCAGGCGTTCCGTGTGTATTCTGACTTTGTACCAGCAGAGGCTGCTGCGCACCTTATTAAATTCAAACAGACTCGTTTGGGAAAGAAGGCAATTTTCAAAAGCAAGTGAATAAATCTCCCATTTCTGCAACTTTAAACAAATTCTCTCATGTTTGATCCTCTGTCCTCGGGATGTCTTCCAGACATGCAGAGAAAAGTTTACCACTAAACCAAAACCACAGGAAGCAATCAGTGTCAGGCGAAGCACGGTCTCTCATTCTGGTCAGTTACACCGATGCCTTCCCATCTTGTTCGCCTAGTGCACTAGCCAACTGTAGGACCCTGGCATGTCTGCAAGGTGAGGATTGTATAGATAAAACTGATGGGTATTACTGGCTCTTATTTTTTTACTCTTCTATCTCAGCAGACAGTTCTATTTTGAGGCACCCAGTCTACATGGGCATCAGGCAACCATTTTTTAAAATTAGTTTTTGTATAGTAAGGTGGTGTAGAGTGCTTCCCCCGTCCTTCCGGGAAGAGATCTCTCGGTGCCTGCCTGTACTCAGTGTCTTAGATGTTTCTTCTGACGCCTTCGTGAAGATCAGCTCCAAGACCTCTCATCTTGAAGTCTTATTCCTAAGACTGAAAAGCACTTACCTTTTTTCGGAACTGGCTTGGTAATGTTCAGCTTGCCGGCTTTCTTAAACAAGCCCCGGATGCCTCCCTTCCCCTCCTCGCTCTCATTGTCTTTGATTGCTGCCTCCAGTGCCAGCCGCTCCTGTTCCAGCTTCTCCAGTTCATCTGAAGAGAGGAGACACAGTCAGCAACTTCGCTCGCAGGGACAAAGTTTCTAGGAACGATCTTATAAATAAGACAAGCCTGGCATTTCATATAATTATGCAATGAGACGGCAATGCGATGGTATGATTTTCTTTCCCCGATCATTAAAAAGTAATGTTCCCAGTAAATTGTATTCGGAATGTAGTAACAGCTGCTCAGAGAAACAGCTCCATGCATGAAGCCACGGGGCTTTTATTTGTAAGGGCAAGAAAGGCTATTTTTTTGCTTGTTTTGTTTGTTTTTATTTTGAGACAGGGTTTCTCTGTGTAACAGCACTGACTGTCCTGGACCTTGATTTGTAGACCATACTGGCCTTGACTCACCGAGATCCTCCGGCTTCTGTCTCAGGAGTGCTGGGATTAAAGGTGTGCACCACCACACCCGGCTGAAGACTACTAATTATTGACGCCTTTATACCACCACCCAGAAAACCCGATTTAGTGAGATGACGTCGCTACTAGATTACTGACCTAATGATCAAGATACTAGGTAAGATTTTCAGCCAGCAGAAGTGACAATATTGCAGAAGTCTGCTGGGCATGCATCCCACACAGCAAGGCTCTGAACTGAAACAGAAAATTCGGGGAATTGCAGATACCTGGGTATGCTCGTGCACACAGGTAATCCCAGCACTGGGGAGGTGGAGGCAGAAAAGTCAGGAATTCAAGGTCATCCTTGGCTCCACAGGTGAGTTTAATGCCAGCCCAGGCTATGATAAGACTGTCTCAAACGGGATGGCGGCGAATTATGGAAATATAATCAGGTCCTAGAATCAACTTCTCTGATCTCTGAATACAGACTGCAGTGAACAGAATGTCCAGCACTAATTGTGTCTCTTAAGTAAACAATAATGACAAAAAATAGCATTATGGCGTGAGTGACCAAAGGCAAAGAGCCAAAGGCGAGGTTTCTGGGAGAAACTCAGCGTCCAGATGGCTGAAAAGTCATTCAAAACACTTGAGTCTAAACCAAGAGTCAAACTGTGCACAATTTCCTCCAGAAGGTTCAGGACCACTCTCCAGGCTTTGGTGTTACATCTGGCTGTCTTTTAGCTTTGCTGGGTGTTGGAAAGTTCCTAGCAGACCTCTGTCCCTCCCTCCCCATCTCTCTCTACAGAGATAATCTCTCCTTGACCTTGGCAAGTAAGAGGCTACAGGAAGTCACGTGACAGTGCTGAGCTAACAAGCATATTCTCGAATTTCTGTCAGATCTTCTAAATCTCATTGACTGCTGAGAATTCAGCCAGGGGAAATAAGCCCTGCTCCAAGGGAGAGGGCAGAAAACCAGATTCAGTGTTACAAACCCCGGCTGGGGTTTCTGCAAATGTCAACCCTCAGAACCCACTGCCTTATCTCTCTGCAAAGGGACAATTCCACCTTAACTAAATCTGTCCAGCTCCACAGAACCACCGGGCCCCTTTCCAGGTCTTAGCAATTAATCCCTTGCCGGTGGCATGCGATTTGGAGTCAAATCACCCATGTGATCTCCCCGAAGCTTCAAAAGTTCTCGTGATGAGTGGCGGTAGAAAGGCTGGGAACGAAGCTGATGGCCTTAGGAACCAGGCGGGTCACGCCTGCACGGATATTAAAAGGTGAGGACAGTCTACACTGCAGTGGGGGCCACAACCCAGAGGAGCACAGCCGCGGGTTTCCTGTGACTTCAGGCATTTCCTCCATGTCTCAGACTTCCCGTGGAATGAAAGATCAGAATACTTTCCTTTTTCACCCTATGAGCTTCATAAGGAGAAGAAACAGCAGAATGCCTTGGAGCTTCAGGAAGACCAGAGCAGCCATGTATTCTCTAGGCAGGGTATCTGTGTGCCTTCTGGAAATGGGTCTTCTCCGGCCGGGAATTGTTTTAACACTGCTTGTTGAACACTCTCTGGGTACCGTGTTTTATTCCTTTCCAAACACCTCAGAGAGGGTTACTAGGATTTTCTTCATTTTGTGGACAAAGAAACCAAAGCTCACAAAAGTTAGATAACTTACATGATTATTGTCATGTAAGGAAGGCCAGGGCTTAAGTACAAAGAGATCAGTCTGGCTGTCAGTCTGGGTGTTTCCCAGCATGGAGACCTTCTTGCGGCTCCTTAGGATTACTTTACAATTGTTTCTATTAACTGTTAGCCTCTCCATGAGAGGAAGTGAAACATTTGCAGGTACAGGGTACCAAGGCAAACCACAGTGCCAATGATGGTTCTGGAACATGTTATTTTAGGGAGGGCTCTAAAGATCTGGGCTGGATGGGAGGTTGCCTCAGAGTTCCATCTGGGACATTCTCTTCCAGCTGTGAATTACTTGGAGGTGACCATAAGGGCTGCAGGGAGGAGGGGCAGCTCCCTTTCCTTTCTTTGGCGGGTTCCAGCACACCCTGTGTTTAGCTACTAACTGTGCTCTGCTTGGGCAAAGACAGTTTAAATCTTCTTTCGCAAAGGAGCCAGCTGGCCGAGTACACTCCAAGTGATTCTAGCAGTTTGTTCCAAGATGAGTCCAGAGCCTAGCCAGGGCAAGCAAACTGCAGAACCTCAGGCCCAGGAGACGGACCGAAGTCTGCTCCTATGCTTCAAATCCACTCGCTCCCCTGCAGAGCAGGCAAGCTGGTAAGATCTTTCTGGAGGCTAAAATCAGCTTGCTTAGCTATCTTGGGTCTCAGGGCCACAAGTGGTGCAATCTCCACTGCACAGTAGGCTCGCAAGTCTTCATTAGAGATGACTCTCCACCGTTTGCTCTGTGGGAGATAGAGTGAGGACCACTCCCGTGTAGCTCCTCACACTGCGGTGTGAACCAGAAGCGCCCCTTGGATGACCTGGGTTTTGAATTATAACTGGTGTACTGCATACCTCGGTTTGCACTGGGAATGAGTAGACTTTGCCAAGATATTTAAGAGGGAGGGATACTGGCCAAAAGTAATCATTAGTCACAAAAAGGAGGTGATTCAGGGGAGCCATGGAGTTAACATTAAAGATAATTCATTCTATTCTATACCAGAACTACTGCCCTTTTTCTTTTTTTCCTTTCTTTTCCTTCCTTCCTTCCTTCCTTCCTTCCTTCCTTCCTTCCTTCCTTCCTTCCTTCCTTCTTTTCTTCCCTCCCTCCCTCCCTCCCTCCCTCCCTCCCTCCCTCCTTCCTTCCTTCCTTTCTTTCTTTTCTGAGACAGGGTCTTCCTCCGCAGCCTAGAAGTCTTCATGTAGCTGAGGCTATCTTGAATCTCTACGGTCTTCACACCGAGTGCTACGATTACAGGCCTGTGCTCCTAGGCTCAGCTACTATACTTTGACTATTCAGGAATTACAGAGTCTTCACATGCTGCAGACACTGGTGTGCAGGGAGAGCCATGTCAGCCCTCATTGTCCTCATTTTGTTATAAAGAAAACGTGGGCACAGACGGCGTAGGTGATTTGTCCAAGGTCACTTAGCTGGGGACACACGTCTTCTGCTTCTGATTCTAACATTGGTCCAGGCTACCAGTGTCTTTGAGTCTTATGTAGCCTCAGCTAGCCTCAAGACCACTGGGTAGCCTCGGCTCCTGATCCTCTTGCTTCAGCTGTGTTAGTGCTGGGATTACAGGAAGGTGCCACCACACCCTAATGTCCATCCCTCTTCACCAGTGGCTTTCTGGTGCGGGACAATGGTCTATATTCTGTCAATTATGTTTTAAATAAATGCTGATTGGCCAGTAGCCAGGCAGGAAGTATAGGCAGGACAACCAGACAGGAAGTAGAGGCAGGTCAATGAGAACAGGAGAATTCTGGGAAGAGGGAAGCTCCCTCTGCAGTCCTGACCAGACACCAAAGAAGCAAGTTGTGAAAAAGGTACTGAGCCATGCGGCTAACACAGCTAAGAATAATGGGCTAATGTAAGTTATAAGAGTTAATAAGAAGCCTGATCTAATGAGCCAATCAGTTTATAATTAATGTAGACCTCTGTGTGATTTCTTTTGGACTTAATAACTGCAGGAACCAGGCAGGACAGAAAACTCAATCAACAGCTCTCGACCTTCCTAATGCAGCCACTGGCCCTGTAATACAGACCCTCATGCTGTGGTGACCCCCAATCATAAAATCATTTTCATTGCTACTTCACAACTGTAATTTTGCGACTGATATGAATCGTAATGTAAATATCTGTGTTTCCAATGGTCTTAGGTGACCCCTGTGAAAGGGTCATTCAACCCCAAAGGGGTCGAGACCCACAGGTTGAGAACAGCTGCTCTTTACCGTTCTTCAGTGACCTGATCATGCTATCTGTCCGTCCTTTGACTTCATAGATTTTGAGAGATTTCCCAAGGCTATAACAGTGAAAGTAGATGATCTTTAGGTTGTCAGTTGAGAGCAGGATTTGAATAACTTTCTTCCTGCATACCCCAAAACAGTTCTAGTGAGGCCAGATGTGCCCAAACTGCTGTGAACAAAGGGTATCACATCCCGAAGTGCTTCACAATCTGACCACAGGGTAACCAGTCGGAGAGACTGTATTTTGAAATTCATTTAGTGGTCAACATGGCCTCATGTTCCAATGTGTCATGTTTTTCTAAAGATGTCATTTAGGGGTTTATAATTCAACCTCTGCCCTGAATCTAAAGGCCAGCAGGATGGGGAGCAGAGAGAGCCAGAGGGCAGCCATACTCCCCTCCTCTTTTACAGCCTCCTTTTTCTTTATTCATTATTAAATTACAACTCTTTCCTTGGTCAATCAACTTGAAGCCACAAAGGCTTATATGAATCAGTTGCCGATCCCCAGGTGGAGTCAAGCTGGATGGAAGGCAGGAAGCAGTCCCGCGGCCTTGCCTTCCAATCAAGCAATTATTTACTGCTAGGCCATCTGTCTTTATTTTGCCAAGCCACTCGATCAGACACAGCAGGATCACCGTGCTCTGAGCGGGTCATAAATCGTGCAGTACTTACACAGGGTGCTCAATTGTGACTCGCACGCACTCTATCGCTTTGTTTACTACCACTGCAATCTGGATACTTCGTTGTAATCGGCAAACTTGCTAAATACCTCTGGGATGGGAAAAACTATGGAACGCCACATTTTTTTGTGTGTGTGTTGTCAGGCAATAAATTAATTTATTTAGAAGACTATTAGTCATCAGTATTGGGCGACTTGCTGTGGTGAGCAAGTTATAACGTTATGAGCATCGATCTTATTTAAACAAAAAGTCATTCTCATATGAATCTGTGGCACAGCGCAGAGACGATTGTCATTAGCTGGCAAATTACCTAGAAAGCTGATCTCTACCCAATGCTTTGTTAACTGTGGTATATGGGCTCTGAATTGCTAATGTTCCCCTTAAATTATAATCCGTGAGGACACTGCAGTGCCCGCGTTGGGATAGCTGTGATGATAATAATTAGCACACTCTATGCAATCCTGAAGATTTATCAGGCTCGTATTAAGCCCTATATTATAATACAATATAATGAACGGCAAGTTTGTTTTCCTTCTAATCCAAAACCTAACCTAAGTCTTGTGCCATAAATTGTTGGCGCTTCATAACAAAGCATGGGGCTGTGGCAACAAGCTAATTTCTGTCATTACATTTTTTTTCACAGGTTCTCTGTGTGTTTGAGTGACTTTGCATTTTTGTTTGCCTAGGTAGTTGGTACTTATAATTATTTTATTAGTATCCAACCATATTTTCCCTTTCTTGGCTAAGAAGCAGAAGAAATATTTCAAACATCAAAGTTGGTCGAAATAGCACTTTTTCTTTGGGAAGCTTAAAGGAGCTGTAGCTTAGTGCCAAGCTTTTTTGAGGCACATTACAGAATCTAGTGGCTCTATTGCTCCACAGAAATCAACAGTTGGTGCGTTTTGGTGCCTGGAGCAGTAAGGAGTAACGGTGATGAGTTTCAGCTGTATCATACACATCAGCTTGAAGAGTCTAATATAATACATAAAGCAAGTGCACAAACTAAATACAAATTATACTTTTTTTTCATTTTCATTTTTAGATAGAAAACTCAACGGCACCAAAGCTGAAAAAAAAAAATCAAAATAGATGGGATACAGGATTCAGAGGATCTGAGTTGGATCTGACCAGGAAACCTTCTCCCTAAGAACTAGTTTTCATAGTACTAGAAGGTTCTATGCAAGCTCCCATGGGAGGGAAGCAGTCAATTGTCCTGCCCAGCTGTGATGCCCATGAAGCACAACAATGAGCAGAGTGGTAAGATATCCCTAAAAATGCAACAGTGGCAGTCATATCGTGGATGTAACCAACAGCTGTCTAATCGGACTTCAGACTCTCTCAACAGGAGGGAAATCATGCCTGCTACTGGAAACCTAGCCACTACCCAGGACTAATTAGGTCATAAATCTTAGAGGAGAACCTACTACTGCCACTTTACTAAACCAGCACGATTCTTAACTGATTTGAAGGGCTTATCCTTATGCCCTTAAGTGTGGTCTTCATCCCGCATCAAAGAAACGGCTCTCTATAACAGATGGGAAGAATTACAGAAGTCCACAATGAATGATGATGGGGAGCCCACCCCCAACTGATACATCCACAGCTCAGGGAACATCTTGGAAGAGGGGGCATAATGATCGGAAGAGCCAGAGTACCAGGAAATCTGCTGTTGAAGTGAGTCTCCTAGAAATGACGGGGACGTTTCTCCTTTGACACCTCAACAATAAAGCTACCTAAATAAGACCTGAATGAGGATTCCAACACTATAATTCTAGAGAAATCTCTTTCACTACAATTATCTGTGTCGTGTTAATTTTATTTCATTCACCCTAACTGGGCTTGTCTGCTGTCCCCAACAATGTTGGTTATTCCTATGGCTCCGCTGACACCAGCTACCTGACCCCTTTCTGGCTCCTTCATAGCTTCTTTCGTGGGCAGTGTTTGCATTGTTGCAGTTTCCATTTCCACCTTACCCATGATGATTTCCCACCTTCATTTGCTGGGGATAGCCCTGAAACTACCGCACATTAAAGAGATTTGAGCAAGGGACGTCTGTTTCTCACAGTTCTGGGAGTGAGAATTCCAGTATCAAGGTGTTCACAGAGGTAATTACCCAAGGCCACTTGGCCTAGTTTGCTGGTGGTGCTTCCCACACGGTAAGGCCTAGTTCCGTGCCCTAATCTCTTTCGGTAAGAGCATTAGCAGAGTTGAATTGTGGTCCATCAGTGTGACCCTGTTTTACTTTAATTACATCATTAAAGATGATTTTTGTAGACAGTTCCAATCTGAGGTGCTGAGGTTAGGATTTTGGCATATGAATTTGGTGGTTCCTGAGGCACAGTTTGGTCGGCAACATCTAAGTCTGGATCTCAGATGCAGGTAGATTAAGACTATTGACCACCTACTGAGCATCCCAGCAGGATTTCTCACTGCCTTTGAGCTGAGACACCTCTCCTTAAACCTGAAACCTGTTCTTACACCCCCCATCTCCTTCGTTACTCCAGCGCTCAATCAGCCAAGGCATTTTTCCTTCACAGCTCCCTGTCCCCTGTCTTCCACACTCAATCAGTCTCCAATGCTGCTCTTTATGCCTCCAAAATGTTTCTTCATTCTGCCATTTTCTCTTCATCCCTGAAGGAGATTTCTGAGTTTGGGCTGTGAGCTCCCTTTGCTTCCATTATTGTAGAAATCTTTTTTTTCCAAGTACACATTTTTACAGTCTTTTTCCTTGGTAAAATATTTCAAAGCAAATTAGAATCATCAACTCTCTCTCCTAGAATGTTTGTATGTATCTCTCCACCCTTGAATTCTAAAAATTAACTTCTTAGTCTACAAAATAATGAGTTCCTCTTGACATTTTCATACATATATATTATTGTGTCTGGCTCATGTTTGTCCTCCCCTCCCCCCGACTACCTTCTGCTGTCTGTCCTGCCCCCTCACTAGTCTCCTTTCTCCCTCCAAATGTACCCCATTGTGCTTTCATGTCACATATACGTATATGTATATATACTTAGACCTAGATTTCATGTATGTGAGAAAAAGTGACATCCCTTTTTCCATTCTTGATGTCTTTGAGTCATGCCTCAAATGACTGAAATAGTATGAACGTTATAAGCCAAGTTTGACCATTATACTCTGACTTACATTCTCACTGGTGACAGACTACAGTCCACCCTTTGATTACAGCAGCAGAAACATCGGAAGCCCTCAGCATTGCTTGTCTCCTACTTTTGCCTTAAGTGGTACTGATCTGCTCTGGCTATGCCGTACCCACCCATCCCGGTCCCTCATCTTAACCTTTCTTCATGCTCACCTCCGGGCAAGAGATGTTTGTTCTCAAGTCTCATTATTCTTCTGTCCCAACACTGCTTACTTAACTTCTGCTCATCCACTAAACCTCCATCTTAGTTAGGATTTTTATTGTTGTAAAGAGACGCCATGACCCATGACCTCGGCAACTCTTACAAATGAAAACATTTAATTTTTCACAGTTTCAGGGTTTAGTCCATTATTATCATGACAGAAAACATGGCGGCAAAAAGGCAGACTTGGTACTGAGGAAATGTTGAGCGTTCTATACCTTGCAGGCAACAGAAAGTCAGCCGACAAGTCACACTGAGGGAAGCGTGAGCAAAAGAGATCTCAAAGCCTACCCCTGCAGTGACACACTTCCTCCTACAAGGCCACACCTCCTAATAGTGCTCCTCCCATTGGAGGACCATTTTCTTTCATACCACAACAACCTCAAACCATATTTCTTCCAAGAAGCCTCTTTGGGAATTAGATGCCCCCCTTTTTTTAAACCATAATTTCTCATTCATACATAACGATCACACTAATATCCATCTCCCTTCTACAGTGCCGGTTTCTTAAGTGTAGAAAGCAGGCTTATTAACACTATATTGTCATTAACACCAATACCTTCACCTGCATTCTGCGTGCTCTACGGTAGGTGTCCCAAGCTCTCCCCTTGTCTTACTTAGTATCAGTAGAGGACTCCGTGGAAAAGCTCAGCTGAAGAGAAGGACTTGTGTTTTGTCCTAGTCTTTCAGAAACTCTTCTCCTGTGGCTCTCCTTGCTTCATATACCAAAAGGATACATTTAAATTCTAAGAGTAAAGACCTCTGCCACATTCTCTATAGTGAAGCAATAGTACTGATCTGAACGAGTCTTTCTGTCTGTGTATTACTTAGTGATTCACAGACCTGACACATTCAGATTCATTTCCATGGTGGCTACAAACCAGTCCTTGTCACCTGAAACCAAAATACATAACTCCTCTGTGGGGGAGGTGGGTCTTCATTTTCTGAAACATCCTTCAGAAATTAATTTGGCATTCTACCTTACTGAAGGTGTTCATTTACCTTGATGCTGGCTTTGTGGTATTACAATAAGAAAAATCGTTAGCTACCCTGAGGTAGTCTTTATCTCTGAATACCAGGACAAAGGCTACTTGTGTGAGCCATGGGAAAGCACACGTGAAGTACACACAGCATGGGCTGAGGGAGAAGCATTTGGTCCATGCTGAGCACTGTTCTGACCCCACCACCTAGAAAAATTCACCATCCGTTGAGAGGACAAGGAGAATACTTACCTTGGACCTGGAGAACCGGAGAGATGTCAAACCCTTGACTGATTCTGACGATGACCACACCGATCTCAAAGTCAAAGGCGTCACTGGGAAGGGAAGCAACAGACTAAGTGTTTCCAGCATTTTCTTCTACCTTCACACAGGGTAAATATTAAACTTGTCTCTAGGATTTTGATATCATGAGGCTATTAAAATTCACTTCAGAATACAGCTAAGAGCAGATGTCTTCTTTGGGTTTGTGTTTTCCTTCCTTTGTATCATTAAAAAATAAACTTTGGGTGGAGGTAAATTCACCATGAAGCTGATTTATTTTCATAGTCCCACCAGGTAGCTATTTTGATTAGGATCTCTTACACACTTTAAAATAATTAATCTATTATTGGGTGATCAAAACAATCTGATATATTTAGAACGGAACATTTATAGATGGCAAAATCTTTTGAAATTATCCGCCTTCCCTCCCTGTCACTGGAAGACATCTCCGGGGACACTGGGCACGAGTTCATGTCTAAAATGTGTCTAGCACAGCGGTTAGGAGGCACAGGCAGGTGGGTCTCTGAGTTTGAGGTCAACCTGCTTTTACATAGTGGGACAGGTAGGACTACAGAGTTGGAACCCTGCCAACAAACAAACAAAAAGGTTTCTGGTTTCTCTGAGGAGTTTTGGCTACAGATTCTGCACAGGCTTCAGAGAAATGCTTCTCCCTGGAAATCCTGTGTCCTCGCAGACGGCTCTGATGTCTTCTCGGCCCCTAACCTAAGGAAGTTAAAGGATGCAGACGAGAAGGAAAAGTGGTTGGTTTATCTCAGCTACTGTAGTACACGTTATAGATCTGGAAGCAAGCCTATTATTTGTGTTAACTAAATGTTCCTCACTCTGGAAGTTCCCTTATTGGCTCACCTGCAGAACTGAGACCCAGAATCCCTTACAGTCAGGCCTTCCTCGGCAGCATCACTGTAGTCTGTGATTGATTGGTCAGGCCCCCTCTGCAGTATCACTGTGGTCTGTGATTGATTGCTCAGGTCTCCCTCTACAGTATCACTGATGTAGTCAGTGATGGTCATCTTAAGCAACAAACTTTCAATAAGAAGTCGACCTGAACTTTCAGGGAACGATAGGAAGAAGTTCCACTCAAAGTTCAAACGTAAATTATCTTCACTTCACAAAATAGGTGTGTTCTAACACAGAACTCTACATAAGCAAACCTTGTTTCTATTTAAGCTTGATAATGAAAAACTAGATAATTAGTTGCACAAAGAGGATGCTGATTCTTTTATAGGCAGATGGATGGGCTTTAAAGGGTATCTTAATTCCTAAAACCAATGAATGCTTTTCCTCACAAGACAAAAGGGGCTATGATTAGGTCAAGACTTTGAGGAGGGGAGAGCATCTTACAGCATCTGCCTGGGCCAGATGTAGTGATAAGGGTGCTTGAAAATGAGGTTGAGAGACAGAAGAGGTCTGTGCACTGTGACTGTGGCTGGACTGGAGATGGAAAAAGAGGGCCACCAGCCGCATCCACTTGTGGGCAGCTTCTAGGAGCTGGAAAGGCAAGGAAGGACTTTATACCAGGGCCTCCTATGGACAATCTAGCCTGGTCTACTTTGATTTGGGCACAATAAGAGATGTGTTAGATGTCTAACTCATCAAACTATAAGGTGTTAAAAAAAACTAAATGAAATCAATCATACTTGTGATACAGACATGTCAAACCTTTTGTTCAAAGGAGAATAGTAAGACGCTACACGATTGTAACCGTAGCCTCGTACTAACAGTATGTGGCTACCTTCCACCTGCTTGCTCTTTGGAGGTGGAATCATTCAATCTTATATTAATGCAAATTTGAATCACGTTAGTTAGCATTGAATTTTACTACCAAGAAGACCAGTTGCTAATGTGTTGTAAAAGCTAGAGGCTTCCTCAGTCTGATGTTACTAGGCCCTGTCATTTTGATCCTTGGAATTGAGTGTTTGGGATGATGGCGAGGCTGACCACAGGAATGCTACATCAAACACTAGACTGTGGGGATGTTCACAGTTCTTCTATCTTCTAGGTCATATAAGATAGATATGTAAGGTTATATCTTGTCTGCATTTGCATTTCCTTCTCCACCCTGTTTGTTGGCATAACAGCCAATCCAGGATCCCAAATGTTTTCAAAGAAAATTTCCTTCCCCTCTACCTTTCCTTTGCCTTCAATCTAGTAAATAGACTTTTAGGCTTAAACATTCCTTATTTGATGTTATTCCTTAAACATTATATACCTGGGTGACCGGTATACCTTAAACATTTGCCTTTTCTTGACTCCAATATCACCCCACCCCACCTCCACGGATATTTCAACTCCTTCCACTTCTTATTGGTTGTGTGGAGTTTTATTTTCCCACGTTGGTAAAGACTTTACAGGAGCAGGAGAATACGTTCTTCTCCAGCAGGTGAATTTGACACAGAGAGCTCTGTGTGTTCAGGTTGCCCGCTGCCCTGGTCGGTGCATCATCCACAGGGGCCCGTCCTGGAAGCCATCACTTACTGTAGGATTCCCACGTAGTTCTCAATCTCTGACAAGGGAGCTTTCCTCCAGTTTTTTTTATATCCAATCACTAGAGTGTTTGGCTTCATTCTCCCCAAGCCTGAGGCCTAAACAGAGGGCATAAACACATGAGCAATCCTTCCGGTGCCAGTGAAATACTACCGCAAATGAAAAACGATGTCAAAGAGCACCGGAGTAATGTTCTGAAGATTAGATTACATCTTAATGTATGTCCTTCATGCCCGTACCCAAGCATAAAATAGGAAGATCAGTTCTAAATCATCTCAGCCATAAATGGGTTTTAGATGACAGGAATGTAGCTTTGCTAAATTAGCAGTCATTTGCATTACTTCTGACACACTCATTAAAATGGTTCAATAATTTAAAATCAAGTAAGGGCTGGCTTAACTGTCGATGTGCATGTTATAACTTAGAGGTTCAGAACTCATTTCCAACAGTGATGTCCAAAATGTCATCAACAATAAAATCCATGTTTTGGAGATCTCTGTATACAAGGACCGTTGAAAGCTTCCTTCTATTATTTACCAAAGAACGACTGAACTGTGCTTCCCAAATAGACTGCTCTTGCGTGATAGTGTCCTTAGGTATTACATTTCATATCAAAAGTTTCAGTCAATTTTAAATGGTAGACTATGGCTTTCAGCTAATCCGATTTAATGTGGTCATATTATCAAGTCTGTATTAATTACAAAGTGATGTCTGAGGTACTTGTGATAGGAGCTTGGAATCACGTGGAGGAGACAAGCTATACATAAGCAGTTGTAACCCAAGAATAAACGCAACAGAGAAAGCCCAGGGACACTCGTGCTCCAGCTGATGGCTCACAGCTTCATGGGGATGTGACATTCGTTCTGAATCTTCAAGTTTAATTGGACATGGACAAGTAGAGATAAGGAGAGCTGCTAATGAAGGAAGGTCACCTGGGTCCTGAAGATACTAAAGAAGCGTCCAGCTCCCGCCATGCTAGAGGACACAATCCCGAGTAGGACATAGGCACAACTGGCATGAACTTGGCCTTCCACACACTTGGTGCATGCTTCATGTGAGGCCACATGTTTAATTCTTTTTTTTACATTTATTTGAATGTTTCTTTCTCTGTCTTTTTACATTTTTATTGATATTTATTGAGCTCTACATTTTTCTCTGCTCCCCTCCCTGCCTCCCCCTCCCCCCTCAATCCTCCCTTAAGGTCCCCATGCTCCCAATTTACTCAGGAGATCTTGTCTTTTTCTACTTTCTACTTCCCATGTAGATTAGATCTATGTGAGTCTCTCTTAGTGTCCGCATTGTTGTCTAAGTTCTCTGGGATTGTGGATTGTAGGATGGCTTTCTTTGCTTTAGGTTTAAAAACCACCTATGAGTGAGTACATGTGATGATTGTCTTTCTGTGTCTGGGTTACCTCACTCAAAATAATATTTTCTAGCTCCATCCATTTTCCTGCAAAATTCAAGCTGTCATTTTTTCTGCTGTGTAGTACTCCATTGTTTCTTTACTTTCATTTTTTCAAGATTCTTTTCCTATTAAAAAAAAACTTTGACAATTTTATTCATGTCTATGTTGAATCCTGGGCTTTTTCATGCCCCTTCAGGCCCTCTCTACTCCTTGCCTTTTGCCGAAGCCCTTCTCCCTAACAAGTCGACACCTGTTTCGACGGCCATTTTTTTAAAGATTTATTTACTTATTATCTATACAGTGTTTTGCCTGTATGTATACCTGCACATCAGAAAATGGCACTAGATCTCATTACTGATGGTTGTGAGCCGCCATGTAGTTGCTGGGAATTGAACTCGGTACCTTTGGAAGAGCAGGCAGGGCTCATCTCTTTAGCCTCGATGGCCATCTTCTTAGTCCACGGAGTTTAACTGTGGTCAGTTGCTTGGCCAAAAATATTTGTGAGGCTATTAACTGGTACACACTCAACTTATCGGTGAATATACAGCGGAAGAAAATAACTTTATTCCCCCAGCATCCACAAATTGCCCATAGCCCTTCTGTAATGGGTGAGGCCTCTGGAATCCCCCATGCATGATAAAATTGTTCTTAGTCCAATACTATGTAGGTCTTGTGCAGGTAACCACAGCTGCGGTGAGTCATGGCTGTGATGCCCACGTCATGTCTGGAAGATGCTATTTTGTAGCAGCCCCAGCCCCTGACTCTTACATTCTTTGTCTCCCTCTACTGTGACATCCCCAAGGCTTTGGAGAGGATGATGCTGCTAAACCCTTCAGGGCTCAGTACACCATAATCATTTACTTTTCATACATTGACTAGTTGTGAGTCTTTCAATATTAAGTAACACCTACTGCAAAAGAAGCTTCTCTGATGAAGGCTGGAATCAGCACTAATCTGTGGCCATAAGCATCGTGTCTATTTAGTAAAACAAGAAGAGCGGTCTCTCCTCTGGGGTCCGTGACCTCTCTACTCACAGGTTCTTGACCAGGTTTCTATGAAAAGAGTTCCCTAGTGTGGAGGAGGCCTCAAATCCAAACAAAAGTCGCTGGTTATCTCTATAACGGTCATGCCACTGTTACACAAGTGGGGGTATCTTGCCAGACAGGTTACTTTTGTAGAATGCCTGGACAGAGGCTGTGACTGCAAAGGCTGATCAGCTGATCCAAGGATGTGGCGAGACTGGGATGCTGCAAGTTCAGAGCCAAGAACTACCTATTGTCTCCCTCTGTGGGCCAGTTAACATTTTTGCAGTCACTAGGCTAATATTTTGAAATACACAAATGCTATATTCAGAGAGTCTTTTGGATTGTTTTAAATTTCTTTTCATACTTTAAATTACAGAGATGAGAACTGGGGAATAAGTTTCTGTATTCATTACAGAAGTAGAAGAGGGAAGGGCAAAGGAAAGAACGAGGAAGAGAGAAAACTGCAGACTCCAGCATGCAGCCATAGAAATGATCACATTTATTTAATGTTCTGGAAATAATTCCCAAGGCTGGGGAGGTTTTCTGCCCTGATCCACATGCATTTATTAGTGGAGTCTCACAGCTGCCCACCCGTCATTTGCAAAAGAAAAAAATAGAAAAGATGTCTGACCGGACCGCGGCTACCTGCTGTACGAGACGCAGAGTTTGAAGTTTTAATAGGGTCCTGAATGTCCTCAACCACCAGAACAAATTTGCATTTCAATGAGTGTGGGGACAGAACGGTGCTGGTAGCCAAAGGCAAACTCATTTTCTGTTTCCAGTCAATCATTTCTAGTTCACTGTAACAGAACTTCGGCTTGTGCCTGTCACAAAGAATTTGAAATGTGTTCCCTGATCATCGGTCTCGATCTCTGATGCTTCCTTGGTGAGTGGCTCAACTAAGGCTAGCCATTGGTCTGAGGTGCTTTATCCACCAGGACGCTGTCTTTGTGCTCACTCCCTCAGTGCCTGCCTTACCTGAAGGAGACTCCGGACACCGTCTCTGAAATAGTCTGCTGCCACTGCCGCGTAAAACGCCTTGATTTTGTTCTTTATGAGCCAGGCCTGTTTTTTAGCCATGCCGCTGTTCATCTCCTTAACACACAGCTTGCGAGGGCCCTGGATGATGCAATGAAATATTAGTTAGAAGTCCGCCTATTATACGTCACACTACTGTTGTTTTCCAAGTGACCAAACCAGCCAGTCAAGCCCCATTGAGTGAAGAGACAGGATTGAGGGAAAGGTACCCCCTTAAATGGGAACCTTGTTTTTGGAGAGGACCTGTGCTGCTCATTTTGAAATATAACTCATTTTCAACCCCAAATCCAGGCTTCATAACACTGACTTAAACAATTGCCTTCTCCAGAATGGAAACAAAAGCCAAGGGTGTGGTGGCACATAGGGAAAACACTCAGAACGTGACTGAAGAGGCTCATGATGAATCCACAATCAATCTGTGATTCTACAGTGAGAGCCACATTTATGAACCTCAGAGAAATCTCAGTTAGATCCTGATTTCAAGAACCAGACAGAGCTCTTGGGAGCCGTGCATGATGAACTGCAAGTTCTGCCACAAGTCACACATCCCGACAGTTCTATTGGTGCCTAAGCACTGCCTGTAGGTGTGGTAAGAATCCCTTCATTCAGAATGAAAGTAGATCCATATCTATCAGCATGCACAAAACTCAAGTCCAAATGGATTAAAGACATCAACATTAATCTGACCACTTTGAACCTGATAGAAGAGAAAATGGGAAGTAGTCTACAAGACATAGGCACAGGAGGCCTCTTTCTAAGTAGAACCCCAGTAGCACAGACAATAAGAGAATCAATGAATAAATGGGACCTCCTGAAACTGAGAAGCTTCTGTAAAGCAAAGGACACTGTCAGTGAGACAAAAAGGCTACCTTCTGACTGGGAGAAGATCTTCACCAATCCCTCATCAGACAAAGGTCTGATCTCCAAAATATACAAAGAACTCAAGGAACTAGACATTAAAACTCTAATTAACCCAATTAAAAAATGGGGTACTGAACTGAACAGAGAATTCACAACAGATGAACTTCGAATGGCCAAAAGTCACTTAAGGTCATGCTCAACCTCCTTAGTGATCAGGGAAATGCAAATCAAAACAACTTTGAGATACTATCTTACACCTGTCAGAATAGCTAAACTCAAAAACACCAGTGATAGCCTATGCTGGAGAGGATATGGAATGAGGGGAACACTCATCCATTGTTGGTGGGAATGCAAACTTGTGCAGCCACTGTGGAAATCAGTGTGGCGGTTTCTCAGGAAACTGGGAGTCAACCTCCCTCAGGACCCAGCAATTCCTCTCTTGGGAATATACCCTAGAGATTCCCGAACATACTACAAAAGCATTTGTTCAACTATGTTCATAGCAGCACTATTTGTAATAGCCAGAACCTGAAAACAACCTAGGTGCCCCTCAATAGAAGAATGGTTAAAGAAGGTGTGGAACATATACACATTAGAGTTTTATTCAGCAGTAAAAAACAATGACATCTTGAATTTTGCATGCAAATGGATGGAAATAGAAAACGCTTTACTGAGTGAAGTCACCCAGACCCTAAAAGAGGAATATGGTATGTACTCACTCATAAGTGGATTCTAGCCATAATTAAAGGTCTTTGAGCCTATAATTAGTGATCCTAGAGAAGCTAAATAAGAAGGTAAACCTGAAGAAAATCATATAGTTATCCTCCTGGATATTGGAAGTAGACAAAATTGCCAGGCAAACTTGGGGGCATGGGGG